CAGCGCTCGCCTACCTGCACCCCAACCCACAACGTAGCTGTTCAAGTCAGACGTGAGCTCCCTGAGCCCCGGATTGTCAGCATGAGAGAAGATGGGAGGGAGCTGTTAAGCACACGGCTAGTTTGGGGGCAGAGAAAAGTTTTATCTGCATGGGGCCAGTAAACAGTCCTGTTTCTAGGAGAGCCATCTCCTCAGCAAGGCTGCTTTTAACTCCGTTTCCTGACAAATGTGCCAGCGCAGCCTTGCTGCTRCAGATCTCGCTGCTCTGATAGCGAGGAGCGTCTTCACCAGGACGTTTGGCAGAGAGGCAGCAGCCAAAGCGGCAGGAGCTTCGCTGTGATCCTGCGGCGAGGCTGAAATGCGGCGCTGCGGGGCGGCCTGGTGACCGCTGGCTGCACTGCAGGCATCCATGCAGGCTCTGCGCTCTGCTCTGCGTCTCCTGAGACCGACTACACAAAGAAACATTTTTTAAACCTGCGCTTAGAAGACTCGACTCCAAGACATGACCGAGGCTGAACAGGAATGCTGCCTTTCTGCTAGAGCAAAGTGGAATTTCAGCAGCAAATCTGTTGCTCGGTTTTCCAAAAAAGATGCTTCCAGCTGAGAAACCTTTAGAGTGAAAATGACTTTTTCACTGGAACCACCAGAAATGAGCAGATTTTTTTTTCTCTGGTGGGCAATTTGTGTGGTGCAGTACAAGGAGGCATAGTTTTAACTTTGCCCTGCCATATCCTTACTCCAACCACACGTCAAAGTAGACAACCTTCCAGCATCTAGTGATCCCCTTGATCACTAGTTACGGGAGTCAGAAGAAATCTCTCCTTCATGTGTAGTATTTTGCTCTACAGATGTATACATGGACACAAATGGTTAAGAAGCCTGAAAAAGCTTCTTCCATTCAGTAGCTTCCATGCAGTAATCACTAAGTGTCTTCCTCATCCAAGTCTTCARGAGTTTACTCAGCCTACTTAACATTACAATGGCAAAATATTAAGAGCACTCAAGGTCCATGGCAGCACAAAAGGCCTTTCTAAAGCTGATACAATCAATAAGGTATTGATTTCTTTCTTCAGCAAGCTGCTTTTAGCATATTCTCTTTGAACCCCGCACATAATCCGTACTTAAAAATTGATCCACATCCAAGAGCCCATATAAGGCTGCACTTCCATTGCGTTGCGTGTATGCATGTAAAGGGTGGCTGCTTGGTAAGTAACACCCTTCATGTTTTTGCAGCTTAGATGTTTTTCCCCTGTTATTCTTCATGCTTATTTTGCCCACCTAATGTGGGTATCCTTTCTCATCTCTAGTGGGCAATTGCTGGAGGAAGGTMTTTCTCTCTCCGGGATATGTAGGATCCTTTCTTGTCTAGTTGATTTGCTGAGTGACCCTCTCATCTTAAAACAGAAGTAAAAGCCAGTCTCACCCATTTACTCATTCTAGTTTTGTTGCCACTGCTATGTGAGCCTTTCATTAGCACAGGTAATTTTCACTGATTACCACCCACATGAAAAACACTGAATAAAATAAAGCTGTGCAATGTCTTCTTGTTAGCACATTTCACTCACTGGAGAATGCTGCCTACCAAACTGAGATAAATCATGAGGACAGCCAACATTTAAAATGCTCTAATACAACCAGCTGCTTCCGTTTGAATCACAAGTCCATCCACTGCCTTGTCTTACCTTTGAGGCAGTGGCCAGRGGAGAACATCTGGGAAAGAGTCTAGAATCAGGGCAGCATATTTGGATGTTTGACACAAGAACACTGTGTCAGGCCCCTGAGATTTGTGCTTCAGAGGGGTCCTGAGCCAAAGGTGCCTTTGGACCTAGTGGACTACTTTTTCCTCCACAATTGCTTCTTAAATCCATGCAGACTCTCAGCATTCAGATAATTCTGTGCTATGGGCATCCCTAGCTCTCTCCTTGCTGCAGGAAGGAGGAGGTCTGTGTGCTTGTTATGACACATCATTTGCCAGTTTTAATTATTTTTTAACACTTTTGGTCTTTCTGTCTCAATGAAAGGCTACTATAAAAAAATTTTTCAGTAATGAGCACTACTAAACTATGTGACAGTCCATTTAAGCTGACTATGCATTTCTCTAATACTGTTTTACTCCATTGACATTTACTGTGAGGTGCTAGGCTGTCATAGAGCTATCAGACAGCTATGTCTACACAGAGACACTAGAGGATGCAACTTCTCAGAAAGGCACCAGTAATGCAGATGTGAAGTGCTGCAGAAAGGAGAGACAGTTTTACAAAGGCTAAGGGCAGAGCAGGTTTTAGGGCAGGAAATAGTGAGCAGGATGAATGGTTGAAATGGGAAATTGTAGGTATCCCTTGGAGGTTGGAGTGGCTCCAGAGGTCTGGGGAGAATTTCCTTTGTTGAAAGGAGCCATCCATAAACTGAAGGTGAAAACTATCAAAGCAAAATCATTTAATGCAGTTGGATGGAGAAATAGCATTTTATTTTATTTTATTCTATTTTATTTTATTTTACTTTATTTTATTTTTGCCAGCCCACCATTCTCAGTGTTTCACACACTAGCATATGAACACTTAGCAAATGGAATGGTGTTGAAACTTCTGCACCAGTTGTGAGTCTGCCCAGCCTTCTGTGCTGATGCAGAGCAAGATGCCTATGTGGGAAATGAAGAAATGAGTCATTGCCATTCTGATTTTGCCTGGTTTTGAAGAAGAGGCCGGGTAAAACTGACATTTCGTGTTGCCTGGAGTTAGAAACAGTCATTCTTAACTGATACCAACTAAGAAGTATTTTATCAASAATTGGTAAGAGGCTCAGATGCACCAATTGACTTTGCAGGATTCATAGGAAARTTCCATTTAATCTATTCAGGAAGCCATGCCAATCAAGCAACTGGATGTGACTGTCATTACCTATGCTTTTCACTAGTATYATTCAGGTCCAGAGAAAAGCCGGGGCTGCCTTTATTTTGGAGTAAGTTTTTCTTTGAGAAACAAGACCATCTAGTGGTTAAAACAGAAATTATCTACTTGCTCTGTGCTTCACTATAGGGCAGTGAATGAAGCTCCCCAGTCTTCACTGAAAGTTTAGTTGGCTTGAAATCTGAAAGTGTGTCTGAAGCTCAACAAAGCTGTATGTAATCCAGGCCCACATTTGTACCTATTGAGCCTTCCACTCAGCACTTGGGTATGTGTAGCCTCCAAATGCACCTGGATACCATAGGCATAGTCACATAGGAGAAGCAGGGAAGATATTATTAAAAAAAAAAAAAAAAAAGAAAAAGGAAGTAGCCTTGCAAACACTGAGTATGTCCAGCATTGAGACAATATTTTAAAGTTTTCCACCATTAAACCAGCAAAAGCATTTTTCCAATTCAGAAGCAGAGCTGAATTTGTACGTACAATCATTCTGCTGTTGGGTTGCCGGATGGAAATTCCTGTTTCTGTTTGCCATTCACATGTACTCATGGGATAGATCGGACTTCATGCACGATTACTTTGTCCGGGAACTTAGGCTGCTCTGAACACCAGCTGCTTGAAGCAGTAGTTGTCCAGGTTTCCAGGCAGTTAGAGCAGAAAACTGTCACTGTTGTGCTGTGTTCACCACAAGTGTCTGCATGTTCTGGTATGGCAGAAAGCAGGACCAGGTCCTGCTGGGAAACAAAGGGTGCTTTCTTGCAGAGAAAAAAAAAAAAAAAAGGRAAAAAAAAGGTTAATGGGATGTTAACTGAAAAGATACAACAAATTTACATAGAGAGGAAAGACTTGCAAAAATGCAGCAGAGCCCGGAACTCCCCGCACTTTCAGGTAGTGTTAAGTTCTCTGAGAGAGGTGCTCGAGGCATCCCGGAGGACATGACGGATGGGAGCCTGCCTGTCCAAAAGGTCTCTCTGTATCCCACTCTGAGCCCTTAGTCCACTATATTTCCAGATTATTGCATGCCCCATGACTGAAGCAGCCATTCACCTGTGCCGTTGGTGCCTCCCCATCCTCCCGTTACTTTCCCAGTGGTGTTTTTATCTGTCACTTTGCCTAGCTAAGCATTGGCCAACCCTTCCCTGCAAGGCAAAGGCCACCTTAGCAATGGGGGTAGCACAGGGCAAGCAAAGAGATTGTACCTTGGGACAATCCCCATGGGAAAACAAAAGCCTCCTTGCAAAAAGCTGCAGAGATCAGGGACTTAGACCGAATCCTAAGCCTAATGCAGTGCTGATCCTGTCCTTGGCACACAGCTGGTAAATATCCTTTTGGTTAAAGCAAGCTGAAGCTGTTATACTAACACACATACATACATACACACACACATACATATATACATATATACATATATATATATACACGTATATATATATATATACGTGTATATATATATGTATATATGTATGTGTGTGTATATATATATATATATATATGTTCTGGCAGTGGTGCCAGCTGTACATGTCCAAAGCCGCCAGTCACCTCCTGATCACTGGCAAGATTTAGGGCACAAACACGTGCAGGTTTAAGTGGAGACTTTGACCACAGGTGTGGCGGGGCAGTGGCAGGTTAGGGCTGTGAGTTTCGACCCAAGCTAGTGACTGGATAAAGGGATTCAACCAGCGCATCCCGCTGCTTCCTGGGGGATCATGTGGGGGGCGGAACATGGGGAGAGCGGAACCAGAGCGACCCTGGCCGCGGGCGGCGAGGGAGGCGGGGGAGACCAAGGGCGGCGCGCGGTGCACTCTGGGATCTGTAGTCCCACCCACCCGCTCGGCGCCACGTGCTCTACGGCCTCGGGGCGGGCAGGGACTCTCCCTCCCATGATGCAGCGCGGGAGGGGCGCTGGCGGCCATTTTGCGAGGAGACGCCGGCGGCGGTGTCTGTTAGTGGTGGTKCGCGGCGGGGGTCCCTGGCGGGGGCCGGATCTGGCCGCCATTATCCTCTTTTATTTTATTTTTTTTCTTTCTTTTTTTTTCTTTTCTCCCCTGTTGCGCTCTCTTCTTCTTTTACTTCTGTCTCTTTCTCTCCCTTCCAGGTCCTGCCCCCTCCCTCCGCCTCGGCCGTGCCGCCCGTGTCCCTGCCCACCCCCTGCTCCGGCATTGCGGCGCCGCAGACGTGACCCGAGCGGACCCCACCGCGGCCTTTTCCCCGCTGCCCCGGCCTCTCGCCGCAGAAGCGCATGTCATCTATCCAGAACCTCCAATCTTTCGGTAAGAGCCGCCCTGCCCCTCACAGATGGGTATTTTTTAATTTATTTATTGAGGAAAAGGGCGACACTCTGTGTGGCAGCCGTATCGGTGAACTCTCATCCTCCCGCTCCGATTTCCGTGGCACTGAAGCAGTTACAGGGCGGAGTGTTGCCAGCATGAGCTCTGCCTGCGTATTTTTTTTTTCTCATTTTTCTCCCCTCCCCCCCGTTCCCTTCCTTCCCCCACCACCGTCTGCTTGTGCTTATCCACCTCATCTCTTGGCCTGTGCTGTCGGTCAGGGAAGGTGTGTTGTTTATACGTTGGAGAGAAACCTGAGATGAGGTAGTCGTCCTCTCACCCCTGCTCTGGTAGGAGCTGCTGCCCTGTCTCATATTCTGACTCCTTCAGCCTTGTTCTACATCTCTGGAGGCTGGCTTGGGCTTTTCTGTCCCACAATTGTCACCCTTGGTGTGAGCGTTGCAAGGTTGTTTTTCCTCTGTCAAGGGAAGGAATGGTGGCCTCACTACTCCGTTTCCAATAGAGAATCTCTTTGCTTGTTGATCTGCTGCAAAGCTGCCTCATCTATATCATTATCCGCTGCTCCAAAACCTGATTTGTGTCCTAAAAATGATAGTGATTTTGCAGATTAAGTTACATAGCTGATAGGCCATTTTTTCTTGTATTAGTRCAGAAATTAGACCTGACTGGGCTTTGGTTCTCCATGTCTCTTGATCTATAGGCAACAGAAGTGAGCAAGTAACTTCAGGATAATGTTGTCAAGGTTTTGATCTTCTGCACCTRTTAACAGTATGAGGAATCACAGAATGCTTAAGGTTGGAAGGGACCTCAGAGGTCATCCAGTCCAACCCCCCTGCTCATGCAGGGTCACCYAGAGCACGTGGCACAGGGCTGCATCCAAGCGGGTTTTAAAGATCTCCAAAGAAGGAGACTCCACAACCTCCCTGGGCAGCCTGTGCCAGGGTTCTGTCACCCTCACTGTCCAGAAGTGTTTTCTCAAGCTCGGGAAGAACTTCCGATGCTTCAGTTTGTGGCCGTTTCCTCTAGTCCTRTCGCTGGCCACCACTGACAAGAGGCCGCCCCCTCCTCCTCACTGCCTCCCTTGAGGTATTTATACACGCTGATCAGGTCCCCCCTCAGCCTCCTCTTCTCCAGGCTGAACAGGCCCGGCTCTCTCAGCCTTTGCTCACAGGGCAGATGTTCCAGGCCCCTGATCATCCTGGTAGCCCTGMGCWGGACTCTCTCCACCAGCTCCACATCCCTCTTGTACCGGGGAGCCCAGAACTGCACACAGGGCACAGGAAATTGTGGTAACTATGATTTGAGAAGTTTGTCCCACGCTTAGCAGCGTGTTACCCAGAGAATTTGTTTAAAAGTAGCTCAGTGTTGACACCAGCATGTTGATTTTACCTCTGACCCTAATCCTAAACTATTTTTCAAGTGCAGGTCCCCTTTAATCSTTTCCTTGACTAAAATTTTCCATCACCATTTGTCTTGCAAACTGTGGAACTTGCAAGGTTATTTTAACAAATGCCCAGTGGAAATGGAGCAGATCTGCCACAACTAGGCCATATTTCTTTCTTGTGGTTATTTGTACCCTTGCGCTGCTAAAAGTTCTTGTAGGACCAGTCTGTCTGCTGAACTACTTCCATTCCTGTTCCCACCCAAGTTTGAGGTACTTGTTTCCAGTGGATCCTTGTACCTTGTCAAAAACCTCATCTATATTTTTAGATTTGAGTTTCAGATGAAAGTTTGGATCATGTTAAATTGCATAAATTTAAAATTGTGAAAATCTATCTCATTAACATCATGCTGATTAGTATCCAAAATTACTAGTGGCGGGTTAAAAACAAAAATCTTGACTTAAAGCCCCTAATGCTTTCAGTTTTATTTGGAGAAGTTACTGTTTAGCAATCATGTAGGCCTACCAAATAGAATGCGTAATTAAATATGTTTTTGTGGAGGRTAGAGAACGGGTAGCATGACTTGGAAACCCATCTTTTCTTCTTACATACCTGCCTAATATATCTCTTAAAAAAGTCGAAGGTTGGAAAAGTTAGTGAATGGATTTCTGTGCAGAAAAGCACATAAATGACTTATTATGATTTCTGTCTGAAATTGCCTCCTGGCAGAGTGATGCTGATTGACACACAACKGCTGTCATCTGTTGGTGTCTGTAACTGTGCCCTATTTACATAAGCAGCCGAGAAAACATCCACAACTTAAATGCTGGCTGTGCAGTGGTTGTTATCGTGCAAGACTTCTGTTTTGGACCTGTAAAGCTGTACATATGAAAGAGCTTTTTATTTTTCTACCATTGTCAGTTCATCTCATAAAAGATATCCCTGCATACCAGTCTCACTCTGCTTAAAATGCATCTGACCAGCTATAACTCCATGTGCATTTAATATTCTCACTGCTGGAAATGAGCATGACTCTAGTGTATTTTTCATRTGCAGGTCTTCAGAATTTCTGGTTTATAAGAAAAAGTAGAGGCTTATGCTGACACTGTAGCAGAATTTCCAAGAGGTTATTAAAGAAGCTAGATACTTAATAGCTGACCAGCAGCTGAATTAGGCTGAATTCATAGGCTAGTCAGACTTAATACAACTGAGGATAAAAGTAATCCTAACAGAGTATCTTTAAATGGGAAAAAATGCTAAGATTTTTCCCCAAAGCCCTTAGTGCAGTGAGAAACTTACCTGGTAGTTTTTAAATGCAGATGTTTTCTTTCGTGAGAATTACCTACGATATTTTTCCTCTTGCAGACCCCTTTGCTGATGCAACTAAGGGTGACGACTTACTCCCAGCAGGGACCGAGGATTACATTCATATAAGGATCCAACAACGAAACGGAAGAAAAACCCTAACAACTGTCCAGGGAATTGCAGATGATTATGACAAAAAGAAACTTGTGAAAGCCTTCAAAAAGGTGAAGTTYTTACTTTTAAGAGTAAAGATACTCTATAAAGGGTTTTGATACCTCTTCAARCTAAGAGGAGATTTTTTTTTTCTTGCCAGTGCCCATCACTTTTGTATTCAGGTTGATCTCCTTCCCTGTTTTTCTCAAAACTCTTGTCACTGGCCAGGTTACAGAGAACTTTGCCAGAAAGCTAAATCTTTTTTTTTCTCTAATAMTCCAGTAAATAGAAATATGTTCTGAGTGGATCTGCTGCAAATCTGCTTGGATTTACTATCAGCACCTTAGCTTTTTACGCATTACCAAATATATCCCATTTGCTATTAAAACCAGCATAGATTAGGTCTAGCCTTGCCTTTCTTGGATTCAGAATTTTGATAAGCAGTTTCTGTGACAAAATTCTGCTGAAAAGGTTCCTAGGTAAAATCTCCTTATATTGCATATTTTAGACGTTATATACCTTACAATATGAATGTTTCTCTCTAGAAATTTGCTTGTAATGGTACCGTGATTGAACATCCTGAGTACGGTGAAGTTATCCAGCTCCAAGGTGACCAGAGGAAGAACATCTGCCAATTCCTCATGGAGGTGAGGCACTGCAGCTAAATACCTTGCAGTATTCTAAACTTCTCTGCAAGCAGTAAAGATTGATAGCTCACACTAAAATTAATCTGTTAAAAATACCTACTGTATTTTCTTTATATTTTTATCCAGAAAGCAAAATGACTTGTTGWGCACTGTTAAATGAGAGTTGGTTTCCAGTAAGAGTCAAAATGCTTTGGAATGTGTTTGCCCTGTTTCAACATAACTTTCTTTTCCCCCCTCTGGCAATGCAACATAAGCTTTTCAGCTTTATTGTGAAATGTTTGATGCAAATCATAATCTTGAGACTTGAAAGCACTGTAGAGAAAGAGGCTGTTATCAAAACTACTTACTAGCTTACTGCTGTAAATTGTGATATTGGGGATTTAAATCATCAAGAAAGGTGCTAGATATAAAAAAAAAAAGTATAATGTTTGAAGAAATTTTCTTTATTATTTTAGTGAATTATTTCTTTTGACCCTAATTCATTTTGGAAACTAKAGAGCTGCTTTATTCCATAACTACAGTATTAATATTTCTTTGATCAAGGTATAGCATTCTGATAACTTGTTAATTAGCTTGTAAACTTTACTGATTTACRTTGCTTTTCTCCCTTAGATTGGCATTGTCAAGGAAGAACAACTGAAAGTTCATGGTTTCTAAAATACTTGAGCTCTCATGAAGAATCCTGCAGTAATTGTACTTACCGAAGCTGGCTGTTCTGTGGAAGATGAATCTTTGCAGTGAATGGACTTCCCTGTTACCTGAACATTTAAAATTTGATTCATATTTGCATGATTGCACGAAACATGTTGTATGTAGGTTAGAAACACATAAAAAAACTGCAGTAAGGTGGTAACGAAGACACTTGTAAACTTTAACACATTTCCAATGGAAATGTTTTAGTGATGATTGTTCAGTTTACTATTCTTCACTTGACTTAAATGTGTGGGCTGTATTAAAACAGTGTGAGTTGCTGCTTAAAAATAAAAGTTTATTCATATATTTTCTGAGATATTTGAAATGTTTTAGCTTAAGTTTTTCACTAGGACAGCAGCCTTACTAATAGCCAAAATTTTTTGTAGTGAGTGTAGCTTACTGCTCATTGAATAAAGTGGCAAATCTACATGATAAGTATTTAGCTAATTAGTGAGCGTGATGTGATTGTCTGCTGTAGCTGTGAGACTAGAGCTTTAAAATCTTCCATTTAGATGTATCTTGGTAGTAGCATGATAAGACATTAATTATTTGTTGAGTAAATAGGTGGCTCTTTCCACTAAACTGACCTGCAATGACTATGAAATATTAGTGTTAAACCTAGCTAAATTAAACTAAGCTGAACTCCTTAAAGCTGCTATTGCTAAGAACAAGCTACACATCTAGGTCTTACTGGGTGTTCCCAGGACATGTGAGAGAAGTGCAGAGGATTCAGTATCCTTCCTGTCTCTGAATGAAGGGGAAAGTTCTTCAGTTGGCTTCTCCTGTGACTGCCTTTCATGTTGGCAAGCAGGCTGCTGTAGTAGCTCTAAGTGTGAGTTGTGAAAATAGGGAAGGGAGCAGGCTCTGCACTAACAAATTTCTTGTACTTGTCGTTGCAGTCTCTAATCCAATGTTATGGGAATAATTTGGTGTAAAAAGTTGTACTGTGATTAGTGGTTAATCTGTGGGTTTTGTTATGGGGTGTGAGTATAGCTACAAAAAAAGTTTATTTAGTCYACTCTGTTTTTGTCAGACAATTCATTCAGTGTTATCTTATATCACTATAGATTGTTCTTCCAAGCTTTCAGCCTAGTGTTTGATGTCTGGTCGCTAAACTACATTTTTTTTTTTTTTACATAAAAAAAATAATTTGCTGAAACACAGTTCCCATTTTCCTTGTGAGAYAGGCGATGAACTGAGCTCTAAATTCAGAAGATGCTGAGCTGGGAAAATGCAGTAGTGGTAGAAAATGTTAAAAGGCTTTTTGGTAATAGCGCAAAATCTCACAGGAAGAAAGAGGCATTTCTTTGCTGTTGAGGCCTCKAATAGCCTATTCAAAGGAAAGGAGTTTGATGGTGGCGTAATTAGTCATCGAGCCTAGGTAAGACTGTCAGTGCCCTTACTTTAATTCGGAGCCCTGCCTTTCTAAACAGTAAAGATCCTACCTGAATCTCTTTTACATTTCTGAATTCAGATACAGTCTTCTATGGCACTAGCAGYGGTTAGAAAGGAGCATTACAGAGCATTCATACATGAATTTCTTGGTCTGGCTGGTCTAAACTAAGAATTCTGCCTCTGAGAATCCAGTTTCCTTTCTGTGTCTTGCAATCTTCATGGATTTTTCCTGTACCATTGATCTTGCTGTGCCAGTATGAGGGGAAGGCCTGTTGCAGAATCTGAATTGTCAGCACAGATGAATTCAAATCCATGGAATTAAAGTCTAATGCTACTCTCGCACATTAGCAGAATAAAATTATTGTACTGAAGTTTACACAGTGTCTGATTCATAGGTATTAAAATGTTTAATCCTTTGGGCTACATAGTACTTACTGATCTTCATTTTACCAAATGCCAAAATAGTAACATTTGCAATAAAACCTTTTTCTCCTGCCTAAAAGAGAAAACTAGGGATATGTTCTCCTCTCTCACTGGTGGTATTAAGTGAGTACTTAGGGGTTTTTGAATTGCAGATGAGTGRCTGATGAGCAAGTCTCATGTGTTACTGAGTCAGTCCTCATTTTGGTGGCATCCCATTAGCTTTTACTACTTCAACTGAGTCATTTCTCCAGAGTTGTTCTGCTTAACCTTTCTCTCTACCTCTATTTAAAAGTTCTTTGTGATAGGAGGAACCTTGCAGTTAGTAGGTGGCTTGAGTTTTATGCTGCAGTGAAGCTGCTTCTCCTCTGGCTTTTGAAGGGAAAAATTAAAAGGAATACTAAGTAAAACATTTAAGCTTAAATTTAAGCATAAACACTTAAATAGGTGAGATCTGTCCAGAAAGAAAGCAGAAATTTGTACCTGATTTTATTTTTTCAAATTAGAACAGTAAGTTAAGTTTGCAGCTAACCTTATTAGAAAGCCAAGCCTGTTTGCGTTCTCCAGAAGAAAGTCTCCCACAAATTCCTGTTTTATCATCTTATACTGAAGCTTCTTTGTCAAAGCTCAGCTTACTTGGGATACATACCCAGATAAAATTATTTTGAAAGAATTGCAAGAATTTGTAAAATTAAAACTGCTGCCTGGAAAACCTGCMTTCACTCTGAAGGCAAATTTGAATCTGTCCATCTGTTCCTAAAGGAGGTTTAAAAAATGGTGAAGGATGTGGCCCCCGATTGTATGAACAAGAGAACTAAGAAAAAATATTTATTTTTATAATCTGCTCGTAGAAAGCTGGACAAGCTCACACTGGCAGCAATGGTGGGTTCTTTCGCTGGGATATTGTGAATTCTCTGGAATATTGTGGTAGGATACTTCAGACCACCAAATTAGCATTGCTTCCTCGGTGATACCTCACTTCACCACCACTTACAGCTCAATGTGGGAACTGCTCTTTCAAGTTCATAACTTCGGTGTGTAACCTTGCTAAACCAGGCTGTTGTAACTGGTTTTACCTGATACAACTGAGTCAGCTGTTGCCTAAATAAATTATTTGAATTTCTGTTCAGAGCCTGCATTTTTGTAATACAGCAATGAAACCATTCCCTCTGGAACTGTAGTGGCAGTTGATATTTGTAGATGAAGAGATGTAGATAAAGGTATTGAAGTCTGTAAGCTGTTTCTCTTTTATATATATATATATTTGGCAGATTGCAGGTGAAGATCAAGTCCCAGATAATTCAAACTATATATATAGTTTGAACTATATATATATAGTTTGAACTATATATATATATATATATAGTTCAAACTATATATATATAGTTTGAATTATCTGGGACTTGATCTTCACCTGCAATCTGCCAAATCTGACCCTGTGGTTTGGAGAAGGGAGTGAAGAACATGCTATAGGTGGATCAGCAATAATTTTCTCCACTGCAAAGACCTTAGGAAAAAGATACTGCACAGCTGATAGTATGTGTGTATAGGGTGTGCACCCCACCTGTGGCACCACGTTTTCATTGCTTCAGCATTTTTAGATCAGAAGTTCTTGCAGATGAAAATGAGAAAAAYGAAATAGTCATTTTGCATTTGCTTTGCAGATGCTTCATGCCTACATGAACTAGAATTCTACCAAATTTAAGTATGTTTTGTAAAGCAAATTTTATGCAACTATTCTGGAGACGATAAAAGTAGTATATTTAATGGTGAGGTTTGTGATCCRTGTATTCACCTTTCTGATTTTTTTTCCCAATAAATATTGTGTGTATATATAAAAGTTGCATATGTCTACCATAAGCTGTATTAGCCAATTTTGGCATCTTCTGGGATGATCACMGCTCTAAAACTTGTCAATGACTGACTTGTCTTGAGATCTGAAATTTTAGGTAGAAGAGAATCATCTAACATCTTGGATGAGCAAAGCCCACAGTATTTTAAAATGAAGCGAGCRCTGTTTGCCCAATTTTGGTGTCTCAGCTATTTTAGAACATCTTGCATCTGTCAAGTGCSGTATCACATTTCTAAAATTAATTTGGGATCTGATAAAAACAGTTACATATATTATCTTTTCTTTCCATTTTAAACCATTTTTGTTATAGCTATGCAGAAGAAAGCGTGATGAGGTGGTGCAGTTTTGTAGGTCTGCAGGAGGGGAGTTGTGCGGTGTGGGGTGGTTGCATGGGCACGCTCCTCCAGACAGGGCTTTAACTGCTAACTCTGTGATCCGAGTCAGTATCSGCCCCGGAAAGAGCAGCGAGATGGACACGGGCTGTGTGTCATGCTGGGACAGGCAGCCCTGTGCAGTGGGTGGAAGTGAGGTGAGTTAAGCTGCAAGGTTCTTATTTTACCTGCACCCAGCAAATGATGGGCATCTATGAGAAAAATCCTGGAAAAAAAAAAAAAAAAAACAGAAAAGAAAACAAAGTCTATACCCAAGAGTTCTGCAGAAAAAAAGCCACTGAAGGGCAGTCCATACTATGGAGGCAGCAGCCTTTAGCTTTTCCCAAACACAGAAAGTCAGATACTCTCTTTGCAGGGATACCTCGTGATTGGCTGTATCTCAATAAACACCATAACTCTTATAAACTTATTATAGAAACTAGTTGTATTTCAATTGGAAAATAATTGAATTGTAGTAATTGCGCTTTAACATCATGTATTCCAGAAGAAAAACCAACTTTGTATTTCTTGGGTTAATGCAAGGCTGGAATATAGGGAAAAGACAACCCCAGATAATTTTCTTTTTTTTTTTAAAAAAAAAAGAAAAAAAGGAAAGGAAATATCAAATATACATCAAACATCTAGAAATCAGTAAGGACAAAATCACAAAATCCACCAGAAAACCTGTGTCCTCTGTTTCCAAAGAGGAAGCACCATGCTGCTAGCAGCTGTGTATTGCTGAGTGCGGTACAGGCAGTGGGAGAGCAAGGGAAATGTGCTTATTACTACTTAAAACAGTGATGCTGCTTATATAATGTCCCCAGGCTATACATGCTGTTATGCAAGGAGGCAATCTGGCCCTTGTAAATTTTTGCATCTAGGCTGTGTTTGCAGTTCTGTTTGCTCAGTGATCCCCCTCTCTTCCTAAACCACAGGAGATTAATCTCTTGCCTTCCAATATCTTTATTAACTGCAGGAGAAAGGTATTAAAAGGGAAGGCTGTGTGAATCGATTYGATCTAAAGAGACCATGTGAAAAAGTGTTAAAATAAGATGACCTGTGTTAATATTTCTGCAAGGAAACCATTAAAATTGAGACCACTGTTACAATTGGAACTGTAAAAGTCATTTCCTGCCGGAAAAGTCCTCTTTCCTCTGCTTCCACACACTAATCAATCCCCACAGGAGCATTTTCTTCCCTTTCTTCCTGYAAAAGGCACAGGCCAGGTTACGCCAAGTTTTGCAAAGCGGTGGAGTCGGCGCTGCACTTGGTGTCTCTGCCCCAGCTCTGCACACTGAGCRGTCATCTCTGAACATCTTTATGATGGAAACAGTAGAGAAGATAAAACAGACTCAAAAGATCCAACTTGCAATTTCTGCTGTCTGTAAGTGGCCCAGCMAAGTGGCCCCTGGGAGCAAAAGGGCTGCCCTTTATCCAATCCCTTCACAAATGTGTCTGGAGAGGGTGCCCTGGAAACATGAAGAGTTGCACCAACTGCATTTTAGGGCCATGGGTTTTGGTACTGATGCTGGCAAAGAATCCACTTACTTGTGTTTCTCAAAAGATCTCTTACTGGGGTACAATAATAGATTCAAAACTAGGCTTGTAGCAGACAAAATCATCCACAAAGCCTTCAATGTTTGAGTAAGGAAAAACAATGTACTATGTGAAAAATGAAAGATACTGACAGCTGCCAAGTTTAAAATAAAGAGCAGAAGGAAGGTGAGTTGATTTCTGTAGCCTTCACAGGCTGAAAGTTGAGGTTCAGCTGGCACCGCTCCACTAGATCTGAACAGAAGACATTGGAAAGCCTTGAGTTTGTGCCCCCACACTCCCTATCCTTCTCCACACTAATTTTTCAGGCGAGCAGATTTAAATCTACTTCAGTCTTGGACATGTGAGCTCCTGGTATGAGCACAGGCAGTCTGATAACTCTTTTTTTCTGAGAATATCCATGTTTCTTACATTGAGGAAGCTTGGTGTTTTGATTTTGTTTTCTCTGGAGGGCTGTACAGGAATTAGGGAATTCTTTTGTTCCTGGGGCTTGTGAAGAATCAGGAAGCTAAATTTACAAGGAAAGATCTGGAGCAGATGCAGACCATACAGCAACGTGTGGCTATAAAAGGTAAGGAGCGAGCCTGGATTTTTTCTGCATCTTTGATGCAAGTTACTGTGTGGGAGCATAGGAGCAGAACACAYCGTCTATCCGATCCCCTGCTCCAGAGCAAGGCTCAGGGCTTATGCATGTGCTTGGAGCTTGGGCTTCACCCCAGTTGCTCCAAGGAGTGGGAGTTTGACTCCTTGACGCTCCAGCACCGCGAAGCTGCATCTGCCCTCAAGCCAAGTCTGGATGGAGCCACCACTCTGTGGAGAAGCCTGTGGCCTGCTTGTGTTCTCCGAACAAGGGTGAAACCTCGTGCCCACCRGTGTCCCTTCCCTGGTGCACTTCATGAAATGTAAAATCCCTTTTCCCTGACCTTTACTGCAGTGAAATCCAGAAGCCACTGGCTTATTGGAGGCCTTGTGTTCACTGTGTGAAATACGTGGCCTTGTGATGGAAGTTTTGAATATAGTTATGGAGAGATTCCGCATAAGAGACCACAGCAAAAGATTAAGAATTCAAATTCTGTACATGTACAAAAGAGAATTTTTTAAGCTTTGGGGGGAAGATAAAGGAAATCTGTTTTTTTGTTTTGKTTTG